AAAAAAAAACACTTAAGTCACACAGTGTCAAAGCTTGTCCAGTTTTAAATTTATTGGGAAAATGAGGAAAGTCAGGAATGGCTACTGAAATCATTTTCGAGGTTTTAAGTTCAGTCACACAAAATTAATAGTCTTACTTTATTTTAATGTGTTATATGCGGATTTGACCGTAATGACTCTCAAAATGCGCATTACAGCGTACATCTACTTGTTACCGACAAAAAAGCGCGTTAGCCATGACTCTGTTAATTCTAAAAGTTCTTTTCGATCATATCACTGGAATCCCTTTTTGGTCACATTTTAGTAGAATTAAGAGCTTTGTGAGCAAACGCCATAATTTCAGGTACCGCAAAGACGTCTATGCTCTGCAGCAGTCTCTCGAAAGTCTAGGTCGCCACGGTTACAATACTTCTCCTTCAGTGGTGGAACAAGCATATGAAACGCTCAAGAAGTAAGCTATAAGCTGTCTCAAATTTTTCATGCTACGAATAAAACTTGAGCTTTTGGGTTGTTGAGCATTTATCGCCGGTATTCATGTGGTCATTGTCATTGTCATTGAATCATCTATAGATATGAGGATCTCAAAAGTGCCGAAGTACAATGGCGATTGGCTCGAGCACTTGTTGAGAAAGCTTTCTGGATGAAGGAGACTAAGGACAAAATGCCTCTTCTGCATGAGGTAAATTATCGTAGTAAATAGCGAATAATCTTCAGTGTTAGCTTCGACGTACTGTTTTGATTTTTTGCGATTTTTTTGCCCTACAAATTATTGTTTTCATTGGGAGTATATTATCATATTTTCTTCATTAACTGATCCGTTGTAGGCAAAGGAGCTAGCAAAACAGGCCATCAGTCTCGGAGGAGATAATTGTGCTGGAGCACACAAATGGTAAATTTTTGTGGCCATGTTTTTCAAATCTGTAGGTAATCAATGGCGACTTTTCCCAAATAATGTGAAAGTGATTCCCAAGATTTCTATCTTCCTTGTCCAGGTACGCCATCATACTGCACAGACTGGGAGAGCTTGATAAGAAAGCGAACTACTACGACGAAATAGTGGACCATTTGGAGAAGGCTGTGAAACTCGACCAAGATGACGTTTACTCTGTGCACCTTCTAGGTTCGGCCTTTTTTACTACTTTGAGTAATTTTTGTCCGTGTATCCTCTGCCGTTCTAGGCGTCGTTCATTACAAACATAAAAAATACGAAGAGGCACTGAGAGAGTTCGAAAAAGCGGAGCATGTCAGGGTAAGTGCTGCTGTTCGGTTGGTTCCAACTTGTTTGGTGATTCTATGGATATTTACGTTTTGAAATTTGGTTCAATTTTTGTATGTAAATTTTTATAATTTCGTTGAAAACGCACATGTCGCTGAAGAAATATGTCTAATTTTTGGAGCAAGCATCTTTGTAGTCCTCACATCAGTCATTTTGGACCCTACTTCTGGGAAAAAGTCCAACTGCCTAGTTTCTAATTACGCCTTTTTGGCGGTTGGTGCCAAAATTTTAGATGTTTGGTAGGAATTATACATCTTTCAGAGACCAAAAAAGTTGGAAGTCCTATCAATAGTCTCCTTGATCTGTAAAGGCAGAATCTCGTTTTCTAGTTTTTTCGCCATGGGGAATACATATCTGGGCTTTCCCGCGCATGAAAATGGCAGAAATGAGCTTTGAAGTTTCCAGGTCCGCATTCACTGGCATAAGTGGGCGGAGCTCGAAAGGAGAGGGGCGAAGCGCGGAAGACTTCCGGTATTTGCATTGAATGCGGACTTGAAAAGCATTGAAAAACGCTCGTTTCGTATTTGCATTGAATGCGGACTTGAAAAGCATTGAAAAATGCTCATTTTCGCCATTTTCATGCCTCAAAAAGCCCAGATATGTGTTCATGGCGAGAAGGTTCTGTAAAGGTGAAAAAATGGAAAACGTAATTCTGCCGAGCCGCTGCTTCAACTCGTGTAGCGGCTAAATGATCTGAAATGTACAGGTCACCGTTTGTAGCAGTTTATTCGAGTTATCATTTGCTTTTGTTCTTGTTAGTGACAGACGAATCCATGCTTTACTTCCATCTTTATGAATATATTTCAGGAGAAATTCTCTCCATGTAATCTGTACTACTATGGGGCTGCTTTGTTAGCTCTTGGAAGAAAAGATGAAGCGATCAAGCACTTCATTCAAGCATACAAGGCGCATGCTCATAACGAGCACGAAGTGAAGGTATGCATGCATGTCTGATCCATTTTTGTTCTTTTCATACTCTCTTCCTTCAAATTTTCCCTTTTTGCTGCCTGTTTCCAGTTTGTTTTCCGTCGACTAATAATGTGTAGCATTTTTGTGCTGTCGAAGAGGTTTCAGCGAATCCTAACTATCATCGACATCTTTTCTTCTTTCGAAACATTGTATCAAAATTTACCAAATTTCTATTTTTATACTATAAATTTACAGGCACGAGCAGATGCAAGGACAAAGCTTTTGCACTTGAAGGTTGATCAAGCTCTATACGAGATCCATCCATATTGACAGCACAATCACTCAATTTGTGCCAGACGGCTGACTCAGAGCATTTGCTTAAAATTTTGTAGATTTTAATAGGCTAGCAATAATAAAAGATTTATTAAATGCTTGTTACATCTGTCTCGGCAGGCTGTTATCAGAGGCATTGATTTGCAGCAGTGAAATAATGAAATAACCTATTATTATAATACAATCGAATCATCTAGAAAGGCAGTGGAGTAGAAGTGTTTCCAATGCTACACGTTTCAATCACAGAGTAGAATTTTGTGCGTAGAACGCTACAAACAAAATGCCTAGGAGAGGTGAGATAAATTAAAGAGCATATAGGGAAAGACTAGAAGATCGCAGGAGATAGAGGAGATACAATCGATAGTGAATTACTAGATAAGTACTAGGCTATAACAACGGGCTACAACTAAAATGTTCTCAAATGTCAATAATTTGATTTTTGCCCGAATAACCGGAAGGCATCAAACCAGTCACCATGAGTGATGGAAAACAGGTGTGGATGTTGATTGATCACGAGAACAAGGATTGTCTGAAAGTAATTTTGTTTAGCGGTAGTAAGTATAGAAGTCACTTATTCTTTTATATCCTTTTGGCTCATTACACTCAATGTTATGGAGTTTGTCGACATGCTTAAATACAATCAACTTATTCCGCAATAGAGCTTCTTTTGAGAGACAAGCG